CAGTTCAGGAATGCTTAGCACAGGATGAGTATCATTCATCCTAATAGCTATTTTACTAGGAAATTCCTCCCAATTGACCGAATTTTCTGATCTTCTCTCAAAATAAGAAACAATATTTTGCTGAGAAGCAGAGCACAAGGTGTGCTGCTCTTTTGAACCACCACACCTTACATAAACCAAATAGAGTAATTTCGAAAAGGATAAACCACAAGTAAAACATGCAGCCTCTAAGAAGCTGATTATGGGAAAGAAAACCTCAACAAAATAAAATCAGTCAGCCACCTATCAGATCTATAAAAAGAACAATAAATCAGAGATAAAAACAAATCATAAAGTATAATTTCATCAACAAAGCATAAAGTATAATTCCATCAACAAGGCATAAAGTTCAGCATGTCAAAGCTCAACTAGAAGAAGTGTACCGAAGTTGTTCCTCCATCAATCTACTCGGGTAAAGTCACCTGAAGTTGTTCTTCTACCATTCATTCTTGCTGGAACAAAAGATATATAAAATAATAAGTTATAAGAACATAAAAATTAAAAGGTTAAGAAAAGCTAAAAACTAATTGTTGAGAGAAATTACCAAAGGAGTTTTAAAATTATTTATAAAAGATCTAATCCAGCTAGAAGTGCATGTTAATGCATTCACCGTATTTGCCGAGAGCGAGCTTCTATAATCACTAAGAACTCTTCCACATGTACTAAATGCTGATTCTGAAGCAACTGTTGTTATTGGATTTGATAGTATATTACAGAAAAGATAAGCTAAATGCTAAAAATATGTACTCAATAAGCTAATTAACTAAAAATATGACGTAACAAATTTCGAATCAGAAACTCATCATTTATCTAAGTCCAAAAACTACCATCATGGGAACAGGAACTTTTCACCAAGTATTCACATAAGAAAAAATAGGAAAAATTTAATAGACAAACTAATGTTTAGACAAAGGCTCCAGTCTAGTTGAACGTTATTAACTATGTACTCAGAGCATGAACACATTACAGAATATTCATTGGTCAAACACATTATAGAATATTCATTTTATTTCCTACCATGAGCCATTTAAATGGAATTCATTTATATAACACATTACAAAATATACACTGTGAGGGCTTTGTATGTAAATCTTCCAAATAAAAGAAATTTAAGAAACATTAGGACAATAGGCATACCTAAAGATAAATATGAAATAATACAGAAAAGATACTCAAATATAACAACTAGGTATCCAAACAAGCAGCCGTCGAAGAATATCAAGCAACCAAGCAAGAATACCAATCAATCAAACCAACACTGCCGAGAAAGAGAAGTATAGATCAGAATTTTTTAAGTTTTCAACAACCCTTTTATCAGATCTCATCCATAAAAAACCAGATCTAAATTCAATATGCGAGATTTCACTGCCAAAACTCTAAAAGACTAGGTTTCACTCAAAAAATCTAAGTAAAAAATCTAAGTAAATTTAAAAGAAATTTAAGAAAATTTAAGCTAAGAGGTATCTCTGTAAGTAAACAAGCAACCAAGCAAGAATATCGAGCAACCAATCAAGAAAACCGAGCAGTCGAGCTAACGCTAACTATCCGAGGAGAAATAAAAGTAGATATTAGCAGATGAACATGAAACTAGAGAGCCTTCCGCGATTTTGAGAGGATCAGAGGAGGAGCCTTTCGAGATTTTGAGAGGAGCGAAAGGTAGCCGCACCCCAGAACTTTCGAGACGAGAATGGGAGCCGCGGATCGCTGTTAGGGTATTTTATCTGTGGTATTATATTACTATTACTTATATAAATACTATATACTTATAGAATTTAGTTATATTATATATATATATAGTGGTCAATGTCGAAGTAGGGGCAACCATGAGCCATTGTTGCGTCTCTGGAAATGATAACTTTTCTTTTTATTTTTCTCAATGGAGGCCTTAATATAATAAGATATATGAAATAATACTAAGTATTAATTTGAAATGAAGGAACGAAGTACATACAGTAACCAACAGAAGCGGAGAGGAAGAAGGAAGAGAAGTCTGCACGGTAACTGAGAGCTGGAACACGATTTGATTAAGATGATAACGGAGCCGTCGACGGAGATTATATATATATATTCATATATTTATTTATTTAAATTGGTATTTTAAAGTTATTTATTAATTCTTTAGCCCTAATTATAATTTCTTTCTTGATTACACCTTCCTCCATTTCCTCGCCGGATTGCTTGGTTTCCGTTGTGGACTATATATATATATATATATATATAATCTTTATGAATTAGTTATCAGAACGTATTTTTAGAAATTATTCGTGGGATTTCTTTATTTTCTTGTTTCCGAATTTGCAGCATTCCGTTTCTGGAATTACTTCAAACCTTGTGATTCGGAATTCAAATTAATATTATTTAAAGAGAGAGAGAAATTTTTTATAAATAGGGTAAAAATTATGATGAGGGTTTTTTATGTAATTGACAGAAAAAAAAATGACATAATTATGTAATTTAAACTGTTAAAGTAAATATCTATAGCCGAGTTTATATATCTTAACGAGCCGAACATGAACAACACGCACAAATATTTGTTCGTCGTGTTCGGCTCGAAATACTACTAATCAATTATATATATATATATACATATAGTTCTTTGATGAGTAGTATTTTTAAACATATTAATTGACTATAAGGCTACAAAGATTTATAATCAATTAAAAGTATTAATTAAGAAAATAGAATAAAAATTATTAAATTAGATTTAAATGATGTTTTAAATCTTACCCCAATCATTAACATCTAATGCTACATGATTAGGATTGTCAAAATGACTCTTTGTTCGTGAACGGCTCCCCCCCCCGCCGCCCCCGAG